ATTCTAATGGATCTTTGAAATGCATTATTTTTTACCTTGGGTCGAGAAGAGTTAATGCAGCTAGCAAGAAAGAATGATCGACGGATGGATTTTAGACAACTGCAGAATTCATTTTCATAATAATCGATTAATGAAATACAAAACTACGATACAATTAAATCGTAACTTGAGCAATAATAATCGATTGATTTAATCAAATGTTTAATCGCTGACATCCCTACCTATGGCTATTTTGAGGACACTGTGTATGCATACTGTTAGGGTAAGCAAATAGTGAAGCGATTACAAACGTGTAGATTTTAGTGGAAGTACATAAATCTACGCTCCTATTAGTGTTGCCAGTTTGGTGATTTTCCCATTAGATCCAGCGATTTTATTTTATTGTCTACTTAGCGGGAAAAGTTATAATTTGGTGATTTTTGGCGTTTATTTAGGAGATCTTAGCCAATTTTTAGCGAATTTGTTCGTAATGATCGCAATTATTTAAAGGTTGTTTACAACATTGAAAGCAGTTAGTTGAAAGGCAGTTTACACCACTTTCAACTAAAAGTTGCCTCTAAAATCGCCGTATGTAAACACAGTATTACATTTATATTTTGCAATGCCAAAAATCGATAGGACACTGAATGATTTCAAGAAAGCATTATGCAAGTATTGCAAATGAAGTTTGATCTGCAAATTTCCTGACTTGCTTGCACATGCTAAAACTAAACGTTGGGTTGTCTATTTTTTTCCTGGCTTACCTATAGGGTTGGCAGGTATTAACAGGTAAGTAATACTACTAATTTTCACTCATCTGTTCAGCACATTCTATAGGTTTTATGCCTTCGATTGGTGTCTAATATGTTTATTAAACAAATGAAAAAAAAAATTATAGTTTTTGAATATTTAATTAAAAATATCCTGGCCAGCATTTTTTCAGCCAACTTGCGTTAAATTTTATACGAAACAGATTTCATCCATTAAACAGATGGGTGAAGGTCGTGCCCTATTCGGATCTTCTCCTACATATATTGTTGAAGCCAAAAGCCTTCAATGTTTGGGAACCACTGGCAGTTTTCCTGCACAGTCGTCAGCTACAAAGCTGCACTGCTGCCGGAAAACTACCGGTGGCTTTCTTTCGAACTTGGCTAGTATTTAAGCCCGGTTCCGTTTAAACTGCGGTCTTATTCGTGTCAGACAGCAGGCAGCGGACCGGAGTCATCGTTAAAAGAGGTAAACATTCGCTTATATCAATACGCTTACCTACAAGCAAATAGATACTTTATCATATACTTAGATTTTAATCTTGAATCTGAGAACAAATATACATACATCTTTCTTATTATTGCTAATACAATTGTTTTTCTCACTTTCTCTTGTGGTTTCGCACCAGCAATCATCTAATTTACGTCCCAAACATTTTGGTCCTAACGAACCGTCGATTCGCAACAATGGAGAAAGACTCTTAACTAAGGCCACCCTTTTTTCCAGTAGCAAACAGAAAACGCAAGTTTGAAGCGAAATCACCAACAAGAGTGAAGCGATTCTCACAGACGGACAAGGAGAAAAGCGAGATCATCATAAAACCTTCAGTTCGCCGCGGATGTTTAACAGGTGCGTGTCAAACAAAAATTGTTGAGCGAAGTGTAAAAATTAAAAAAAAAAATAAATAAATTTGTGAGAAAAAAAAGTAATAAAAATTAAATTAAGTAATAAAAATAATATAAATAGGAAACCAAATAAATATTGTGAAGGTACAAATTAATAGTGCAAATTATAGAAAAGCAAGTTTAGAAAATATATGTATGTATATAGATGCAAAGTGGCTAGTTAAAAACGAAAAAAGCGTTTCAAAATAACAAAAAAAAAAAAAGTGCAAAATTGGTGATACAGGGCAAGAAAAATAAAGTACAGTCCCCCAAAACCAAAAAATTGGTGAAATATTCAGCAATAAAACCCAAAAATTCAATTACGGTGTCCATTTATGCATATATACATACATATAAAAGTGCGCGAATCGATATATATACCTATATGTGCATAGGTCTATATTTATGTACATGTGTAGATCCCAGGAATTCCGGATACCGTTGGAGCTATTTATTTGACTTCCGTAAGTCTGATTCCCTTTCTTTACACGTACATATGTATATATTTGTTCGCATATGCATTTATGTACATGTACAAAAATTTCAAGGTTAAAAAAGTCACATCATTTTCAACGTGGAAATGCTTTAAAATTTCGTTAGCTTTTCTCAAAGTAATTTTAATTTTCTTTGTGCGCAAATATCAATAAAAAGCTTTTAGGATACATGTGTATGTACATCCATATATTAATAACTAGTGTGATTTGATTCGATTACGTTATTTCGTTTAATTTTATTTAACAAACGTACATATACATATACATATATATATGATTTATTTGCCATCTTCAAAATTTAATAACTTTGTTAACTTACTTTTTGTGCTAACCATTTTTCTTGGGGGTGTTTGGTGCATATGTACATTCTTTGCGCGCATCTGTACACATTGTTATATATACATATGTATATACATACATATATGTATAAACGTATAAGAGTTGCAGTGATTTGAGTTCTCTTGTTCTCCTGTATCCTCTTTTCGCGGTCGATTACACATACGTACATACATATCGACATCAGCGCCTGAATACCTACGTACATACCCTGCAGCAAATCAAACTGGTTCAGAACTTGCGCTGAGCTAGCCTGAAAAGGGACGGTACTAGTTCTTCATCTATCCCAACTCAATGCTTTCAACTGTCTTTTTTAACATGGCGATGTCCTACGAAGTGACAATTGTCACCCTCTGCAGAACTTTTGATCTTGTTCTGAGCTGACTCTGGCTTAGATGGTTCTGAGACAGTTCATATAACGACAGTTCTTAGATAGTTCAAAAAGGGTCACCTCTGGGCTAGAAAAAATGTGGTTAGTTTTGAGCTGGTTCTAATAAGTATAGTATAGAGCATTTTCTTTAAATAAGCACGCATACAATTTTGTAAATAAAAATACTTCATTTTATGTTTAAAGAGCTATTTGTTTTGCACTAATTTACTTTTTGAGGCAAACTGTGCTTTAAAATTAGGAACATAAAGTGTCAATTATTCCTTTATTTTCTAAAACCGTTATTCTTAAAATTAATTTATATTTGTTACGTATAATGGGTATTTCTGGGATACCTATAACTAAAAATCTGAACTAAGTCGTGTAAAAAAATGAGAAAAACTGTGATATATTGAATGCTTATTTGTGATAACTCAGTGTTAAATTGCATTAAATTTATTGAAATGTAATACATAGACTTTCCGGCATCTAATAAGAAATATAGAATTTTGAATATTCACAATAGTTTTCATGCTAAATGTTTTTCGTACATTTTTTATTTAAGGATGGCTCATAAGTATTATAACATAAACAAATAAATTCACGTTTCTAACTGTGATGGAAATTTAGTAGAATTCTAGATACTGTTATAAAAACTTCAATATTTTAAATCAGAGTTTATAAGTATGCAGTTCTATAGCCCATTAAATTTTAGTATAATTAATCGCGCTGATTTTTTATAACTCTTTTTACGCACGCTCTTGAAGGCATTCTCATGTTTAAATATTTTCGTTTAAGATGCAAGATTACACTTTACTACACTAAAATTTTATGGGCTACAAAGCAGAATACTCGAAATATTTATAAAAAATATCTCTGATTAAAAATTTTAAATTTTGAAGACAGTTTGAAGAGTTCTATCAAGTTTGCAGCACGGTTAGGAATTTGAATTTAAATGGTTTATGGAGTATGAGACATAATACTTAAATAAAAACTAAACGAAAAATATTTAAAATGAAAAACATTGGAAATTAAAAAAAAAAATCACTGCATAAGTCCACATTTCGGGTGCTTAGTGATACATTTACGTATCGTTCATATCAATAGCACTCCCATTTCAAAGTGAGATTGTTTACCACTTTTGTTTAATTTTTTAAATCTGACTAAAAGGTCAAACATTTTGATGAAAGATCGTTAAATTTAACTTTGCTTTGTATAAAGTTTTAAAGCATGGTTTATATGATTTTATTTTAAGCATGACCATTTAAATAATAACAAATTTTAACTCTCAATATATTGTGAATATTTAAAAAAGAAATGGTGTACGCAGACCTTTGCTGCCAAGTGTAGCTTAACTAAATTTTATATTTTGCAATCAATTTTATACGTACGTAGATATGTATAAAAATGAAACTAATGTTACCAATAACGACTTTTTTGGAAATATTTTAGCAGTTGCCCCATAAACTATGTAGAGAATTATATATTAAATAAACGAAAACAGTTTGTTATTAGTTTTAGGGTCTAAGAAAATCGAAAAAATATAGTATATTACATTTGTGCAACTTTTGTCAGCTTTCACATGACCAGGATGAGTAACATAGATGACAGCGCAACTAGCAACATATGAGTTTCAACCGTCCAACTCTGCATCCCTTTTTCAGTAGTTCAGGGACAGTTCTGAAATTTGTAGGGCGGAACTAGCGCTTTGCCAGACTGTCCCTAAATTTTGCTGCAGGGTATGTACATACATACATATTCGGCCAGTTTTTCTCATTTTCACACTTCTTCGTGGACTTCGTTCTGAAGACATGTAAATACATATACGATTATATGTACATACGTACGTACTTTGATATATATCAGCAAACTATTAATCAAAATCAATGTTAGCGAGCTTTTCTTTTGGCTGGAAAGAGTAGCTTTGATATACGCACGTACCTACATATAGATAATTGTTATTTTGTGCTTAGATACTTTCCAACCTACTTGTACATATATATATAAATACGATCGCAAGGCGCAGATGCACTGTGAAACCCAGCAGTAAATTCGTAAAGTTCGGTCTACACATACATTTTTTAACCTTTTTGAGTGTTTTCCTTCGTGGGTGGCGCGTTTCATCCCTTGTGTGTTATCAATAATCTTTATTAAAAAAAAAAATCAAAGAAAATGTCGGTTAACTGGTTTGTTCGGTGCTCTGACGAAATTATCGAATTCAATGCCAATTTTGATGAGGCATTAATGGGCGCCCAGCCGAATAGTTCGTTAACCATATTGAAAGGTGAGCTGGTTGAACTGTGGGAAAAAACTAAAAAGGCATATGAAAAATGTCTACAATCTTTGAAAGAAGATGCAGACATAGAAGGTGTTAGGTCCAAGTACGCTACCACATTTCGAGATTACCTTAGTTGTTCGTCCCGTATAGACGAAAATATGGAAAAGTTTAACCCTAATAAGGAAGATGTTTCTCGAACCATTGCTCAAGCAGCTGGTTTTTCTGATAGCTTACATTTACCACCATGCGATACCAATATTTTCGATGGTGATTATGCCTCGTGGCCATCGTTTCGAGATCTTTTTACCGCGATATACATTAATAACAGTCGTTTGAGCGGCGTACAAAAGCTTTACCACTTGCTTCAGAAAACAAGCGGTGAAGCTCGGGAAATTGTTAGCAATTCCCAACTTACAAATCAAGGATTCGAAACGGCTTGGTCTAACTTAAAAGCGACTTATGAAAACAAACGGGTTTTAGTGAATAGCCAGTTAAAGAAGTTGTTTTCACTTCCGGTCATTCGGACCGAAAGTGCGTCAGCGTTGAAGGATCTTCAACGAAGCATTAACGCATGCCTCTCAGCGCTGGAAATCTACAACATAGACGTCACCAACTGGGATCCAGTTCTCATATTCTTGTGCTCAAACCGGCTTCCAGAGACAACCCTCAGCATGTGGGAAAACACGTTGCTGGATAAATCAGCGTTACCAGAATGGAAGCAAATGAATGCCTTCCTTATACAACGTTTTAGGACATTGGAGTCGATTGTGGATGTGAAATATTCAACTTCGTTGACATCAACCCACCAACAACAACGATCGTTTACGCATCCACATAACCCGTTGGGACAAAAGAAGCTGTCGCTTGCCACCAACGTCATTTCATCATACTGTGTCATGTGCCCAAAACAACAACACGTCCTACGTTTATGTAAAAAGTTTTTATCCCTCTCCGTCAGTGATAGGTTCGCGTTGATCAAAAAACACAACTGCTGTCTGAATTGCCTTTCTAAGGGCCATTCTGTCAAAGAATGTAAGAGTAAATTTTCGTGCACAACGTGCAAGAGCAGGCATCACTCTCTACTTCATAGAGTGGCTCCCAACACTCAACACAAAGATGCCTCAAACCATGGAACTGCCTCACAGGCATTCCATGTAAACATACAGTCCACTTCTCGTGGTAGAAGTTCGTCACCAAATCCAGAAAATTCGGCTTCGTCGAGTTTGTCATCAGCTTTACTTGGCACCGCCATGGTGCATATTTGCCATTTAGGCTCGACGTACTTCGCTCGCGCCTTGATTGACTCGGCTTCAGAGGCGTCGTTTATATCAGAACGACTTCGAAAACTTTTGAAGCTTCCATGTTCGAAAGCAAATGCAGTCATCTCAGGGCTTAATCAAACAGTTTGCAATAGTTCGTTGAAAATTTGTTCATTTATCTTGGGCTCTCCACGAGACCCAAATCTTTTCATTGAGGCGAACGCATTTGTATTACCACACATTACGGGTAACTTACCTTCAACGTCTATAGACAGTTCAATATTAGATGAACTGCCTAAAGTACCTTTCGCAGATTCTAAATTTTTACAGAGCGGCCCAATCGATGTTTTGATCGGGGGAGATTTATACCCCAAAGTTATGTTGGAAGGGGTTAAACGTAGTGTATGCAATAATTTTCTGTCCCAAGAGACCGTGTTCGGGTGGATAGTCACTGGGGCATCATCCACTGCACACGTCTCTTGTTTTGCTACCAAAATCTCGTTGGGGGAGGACAATCCATTAGATTGCCAGCTACGTAAATTCTGGGAGTTAGAAGAAATCCCAAAGAGGAATATTCCATCAGCAGAGGACTCGTTTTGTGAAGAACTTTTTTTGAAAACAACAACTAGGAATTCTGAAGGAAGGTACGTGGTATCTTTACCTTTTAAAAACTTATATCCAACGGACATAAAGCTCGGTTCATCTAGGCCTATTGCGTTACGCCAATATTTGCGCAACGAAGCTAGGCTAATGAAAACTCTGTCTTTAAAAGGAGAATACGATAAGGTGGTCAGAGAATATTTGGACCTAGGGCACATGGAAGAAGTAAAACCTCCTTTGTATGATCACTCCCCTAATCACTTTTATCTACCCCATCATGCAGTTTTGAAGCCGGAAAGCACATCGACAAAATTAAGAGTAGTTTTCAACGCGTCTAGCAATTCCTCCAACGGAGTGAGTCTTAATGACATCTTACACATAGGTCCTGCTCTTCAAGCCGATTTGACGCATTTGCTCATACGTTGGCGCATGTACAAGTTCGTTTTTAACAGTGATATCCAAAAAATGTATCGCCAAATATTAGTAAACCCGTCTCATAGGCCCTTTCAAAGAATTTTATTCAGAAACAGCCCAAATGCGGAGATAAGGGATTTTCAGCTTAGCACTGTAACATTTGGAATTAATTGCGCGCCATATTTGGCGATTAGAACTCTACATCAACTAGCTCAAGACTCGCAGGAGTCATATCCATTGGCGGCTCAAATTTTAAAAGTGCAATGTATGTAGATGATGTGCTAGCCGGATTTCACCAGATTTCAACAGCCTTGCAGGCACGCAACGAGCTAATTCAAGTGTTGTATAGTGCGGGATTTTCACTGAGAAAGTGGTCCTCTAATACAAAAGAACTTATTGCTGATCTTCCTGATGACCATTTGTTAGGCAAAGAATTTCTTGATCTGGATGAGACTAGCACAACGAAAGCTTTAGGTATACGGTGGAACGCCAAGTTGGATCACTTCTTTTTTAATGTCCAGGATATAGTCCTGAAATCAAGCTATAACAAACGGGAGGTTTTGTCAATAATCGCAAAACTTTTTGACCCAGCTGGCTGGCTAGCACCTATCGTGGTAATAGCTAAAATACTTATGCAACAGATCTGGTTAGACGGTACTACCTGGGATCAACCCATCAGTTCACAAACACTTTCTAAATGGAAATTTTTTGTTGAAAATTACGGTTACATACAGAATATCAAAGTTCCGCGTTGGATGAATTGTTCAAATGAAACTCCGATACAAATTCATGCCTTTTGCGACGCGTCGGAAAAGGCATACGCGGGGGTGATATATTTGCGGGTAGAAAACAATAAACTAGTTACATCACAGCTGCTGCTAGCCAAAACAAAAGTAGCTCCGATTAAAAAGATTTCGATACCTCGTTTGGAGTTATGCGGTGCGGTTTTGCTTGTAGATATGTTGAACTGTTTACGAAATGAGCTTCCATTTAAGGTCGAAAATACCTTCTGTTGGACCGACTCAACCATTGTCCTCTCGTGGCTGAAGAAGCAACCTGGCTCTTGGACGACCTTTGTTGCTAATCGAGTTGCAAAGGTTCAGGAAGCCGTTGATTTTCGATATTGGAATCATGTCGAATCCAAAGACAATCCAGCAGATCTGGGTAGCAGAGGGGTATATCCACAGGATTTGACATCGAATGAGTTATGGTGGTACGGTCCGTCTTGGCTTACCAAAGAAGAAGCGAATTGGCCATCATTGGATCAAGAAATCGAAGACACTACAGTGGAAGCAAAAAGGATAAACGCACATAGTACACTTGTATCGAACTTTGTTGAACCTTTGGAAAGATTTTCATCTCTTCCCCGTGCGTTACGCGTTTTATCTTACGTTTTCAGGTTCTACAACATGACTAATAAGCACACTCGAAGATTCCATTCTTATCCATCTTTGGCTATTTCAGGAGAGGAGATATCCAAGATTCGTACTCGTCTTATTGTCTTGACTCAATTGAGGTATTTCGCTAGCGAATACAAGAATCTGTCGTCAAAGGTTCCGATTGATTCAAGGATTTAACGTTGAACCCTTTTCTTGACAGGAAAAGCGTTATGCGAGTCAATGGTCGCCTTGCTAGTTCAGCAATTCTTTCTTACAACGAGAAATATCCAATACTTCTTCCGTATAGTTGCGAATTTTCCAAATTGCTAGTTAATTTTCTCCACATTATATCTCTTCATGGTTCTAATCAATTAGTTTTACGACTGCTCCGGCAGCAGTACTGGATCCCCAAGGCTAGGAATCTAATAAAGGCGGTTATACACAAATGCAAAACCTGTGTCATCTACAAAAGGAAGGAGCAATCTCAAATCATGGCTACTCTCCCAGAGGAACGAACCATTCTATCGAGGCCATTCGAAAATACTGGTGTCGATTTCGCTGGTCCATTCGACATTAAAACTTTCACAGGCCGATCTTGTAAAGTAACCAAATGATACGTATGCCTTTTTGTATGCTTTGCTACAAAAGCGATTCATCTGGAGGCCACAAGCGATCTGCCATCCGAAACTTTCCTGGGTGCATTCTCTCGATTTGTCTCTAGGCGAAGTTGCCCAAAAAAACATTTTTTCTGATAACGGAACGAACTTCGTGGGTGCTTCAACCAGTCTAAAAAAGGACTTTCAAAAATTCCTCCTCTCATCGAAAGAGGCCGTGTGTAACCTGCACAATCAGCAGGAAGTATCTTGGAGCTTTATTCCTGCTGGCGCGCCACACATGGGTGGATTATGGGAGGCCGGAGTTAAGAGCTTTAAGTTCCATTTTAGAAGGGCCGCCTCGTCCTATAAATATACGTTTGAAGAGTTTCAAACATTACTCTGCCGCATCGAAGCTTGCCTTAATTCAAGGCCGATCTCTCCTATCTCGAATGCCTCTGCAGATTGTGCAGCGCTCACACCTGGGCATTTCCTTATTGGTGCGCCGCTTCTCTCGCCTATTGAGCCTTCCATCGAAACAAATCCAATCTCGTTGATTAATAGGTGGCAAAGGTTGAAAGCCTTAAGCCAACAACTCTCAATTCGATGGAAGGAGGAGTATTTAAAGGAGCTTCATAAACGTTATAAGTGGAAGTATCCTCAAACCGACATATCGGTTGATGACTTAGTAGTTGTGCGTCACGAACATCTTCCGCCTAATGAGTGGCGTTTGGGAAGAGTTACCAAGGTCTATCAGGGTAACGATAGAAGAGCTCGGGTAGCAGACATTCGCACACAAAAGGGAATGATAACGCGCCCCATTGTTAAATTAGTCGTCTTACCACAGTAGATGACGTTCTCAATATCACCCTATTTCACACTTTTTCAGCTATAAATAATGGAAGTCGTAGAACTCTTGGAAGCAACCCCCACCTCACGGTCGGACATACCATCATCTCCTCAGAGAGCAACGCATGCGGAGCAAAGACAAGTAGTTAACATGTTGAAGTGCAGAGTTTGCCGCCGATCACACCCACTCCGTTTTTGCAAACGTTTTCTCAACGCAAACTATGAACGACGCCTGCGGTTAGTTCTTCTGCATAAATATTGTTCGCGGTGTCTGGCTTACTCCCACACCACCAAAAAATGTAGTAGTTCTGGGTCGTGCGCGCATTGTCATGAGCAACATCATACGCTGTTGCACTTCAATCCTCGCCTTGGCCGCCGTCAACAACCGGCGTCCCTTTTAACGCAACTATCGGGCATGGTCACCGTTTTACCAACGTGCGCAGTATATGTGCACATAAATCAACAAAGATTTCTTACCCGCGCTCTGCTCGACCCTTGCTCCCAGACAAGTAAAGTATGCCGGTCGCTGATCAAGAAGCTGCATGTGTCCACGTTGCCTGTTGCAAATGTGGATATGTGTGAGCTCTTGATTAGCTCGTCAAACGACGCTAGCATTCGCTTTACTCTGACTGCCAAGGTATTATCGGAGATTGGGCTGAGGACTCCAGCACGTCACTTGAATTCGCTCGTGGTTGAAAAATTCACCAATCTGAAATTAGCCGATCCAAACTTCCATACGTCCGCCGCGGTCGCTCTGGTGTTTGGAGGGGAGATCTATCACAAAATAATGAGGACGGAGGTTATTTCTTACCCAGGATTCCCTACAGCCCAGAATACAATATTCGGATGGGTCCTTTCAGGCCCTTATGCCCTTTAAGGCACACGCCCCCTCATGGGCTACATTTTTTAATATACAAATACATATATTTTATTGCTTAGGATTTACTTGACTGTCGATATTTGAAGTAGAATTTGCACCTATACAACCAACATACATTTAGATATATACACATACATAACAAATGAAGCTCAACAATTTTATTTGCACGCACAACTGAACTCCTTAGAAGTTAAGTTTATCTTGTAATATGAAAATATTTTGAATTATATGTATTTAATATTTGAATTTAACCTTTCTTCATCTTTACGTTTTTTTTTTTTTTTGCAATCCTTTAGCATTGCAAGGCTGGCGGTAATGTTGAAGCCAAAAGCCTTCAATGTTTGGGAACCACTGGCAGTTTCATGCACAGTCGTCAGCTACAAAGCTGCACTGCTGCTGGAAAACTACCGGTGGCTTTCTTTCGAACTTGGCTAGTATTTAAGCCCGGTTCCGTTTAAACTGCGGTCTTATTCGTGTCAGACAGCAGGCAGCGGGCCGGAGTCATCGTTAAAAGAGGTAAACATTCGCTTATATCAATACCCTTACCTACAAGCAAATAGATACTTTATCATATACTTATATTTTAATCTTGAATCTGAGAACAAATATACATACATCTTTCTTATTATTGCTAATACAATTGTTTTTCTCACTTTCTCTTGTGGTTTCTCAACCTTGTTGCGAGTTCGCACCAGCAATCATCTAATTTACGTCCCAAACATATATGATCTCTTATTTTATCAAATAAAATTGAACTAACAGATGTTCTTTGCTCGTCGCTCCACTGTGTTTCTAGCCTTATATTTGTGTGTGTGCCGTCGAATATGTACACACTCTTATTTACTTAAAAGCTTACTTGAATTTCTGTTTGCATTTATAACAAAGTGATTTTATCTAGCACGTCCAAACACTTTAACGACCCTCTTTGCCAGGTTTCGACCTATCTGTCCGCAGCTGAAATAATATTTTGTTATTGAAGCAACTTTAAATGTCCAACAGCAATTTTGTATGAAGCTTTTTTGGAAAATTTCATATTTATCTAACATCCGGCCGTAATTCGTAATTCATTTCTTTATTTGCTGTTTTGATTTTGTTTTTATGCCTTTCTTTATTTGCCAGTCTTATTTAAACTAATATTTAAAAAACTTTTCTCGAAATTGTTTGTTCTTATTTGTAATATCTAAACTCTAAACTTTGTTGTTTTTCAAATATTAAGTAAACACAAACGGGTGGCCAAGGCGTATTTGTTTTCGTTATTTTTGATGACAAAGGGATTGGGGTGTTAGCAATATTTAAACTAGGCGACAAATTAAAGTGCACAGCATTTCTAATACAGAGATGGGCAAAGTGACTCCCAGGAGCCTTTTGCACTTAGGAGCCGGCTTGGCACATTTAAGTGGCTGATGAGGGGTGACATCAAGAGCCAGTATGAGCGTATTAAAATTTCTTGTACTCCGACTCTCATTAATAATATATATGATGGTTTTAATGTTTTTTGTACAACTCTTTCACCCTGAGAACTGATTTAACTCTTGCGTGGCACTTGCTAGCTCTTTGACGACTTTAAGAGCCAAAAATCTGCCCATCCCTGTTCTAATTAAATATTCACAATTATTTTCATGCAGAATTTTTTGCATTAATTACACAGGTTTACAAAAAGGAAACAATTTTCTGCATATTGAACTAAACCCCTATATCACGTCAGATTCGAGGTCATTTGAAGGTCAAGCAGTGAAAAACTCATTCAATGAACCTGAAAGTATATATATGGGGTTTGAGACTCGCTGAACCCGAATCCGGTGTCCGTTAACCTCCATTATGTAGGTCAGGTTCGAGGTCATTTGAGGGTCGAATGAGACAAAAAAATTATTCAATTAAAATTTTTTTTTTTTTTAGTCGCTGAATCCGATCATGGTCATCCCAAGGTCATATTCCTCCTTCTTGTCCTCATTCACCGGTATACCAACTTTGTTTTCTCTCTGCTCTGAGCTGGAAAATGCTGCGCTAACGCCACATAATTCTATAATATTAATTACTAAAAAAAAAATCAATTTACGATTGACAAGTTTTCATACCAAAACATTAATGTAACGTAATTGGTAAAACCTCTTTTCCGATGAAAAATTTTGCTCTTCTACTTTTTGAATAGGGCACTACCGTCTATCTTTTACCATTTCTAATAGCATTCCTGAACGCAGAAAAGTTTGCTTTATGCTCAACCTAATTTAGATTTCCCTCATCCCGAATTAGTTTCACAAGTTATTTGCTATAAACTTTCACTGAAATCCCTTGCATATACCAATCCATCCCCAATCAATGTCAATTTGTTATCAAAGTGACAAACGGAGCAAACGAAATTGATGGCAGTTGTCTGATGGAGAGATACTCCTCGTCTCGTACGAGCGCATCGATGTGTGTATCAGCAATGAAAAGCAATCCCTATTGATTGCCAAAGCGAATCCCAAAAGTAAGTTAATCTGCTAAGCAGAAGCAAATTTGACTCAACCTTAACGGTGCTGTCCTTGTCAAAGTAATCATTAAAGCATCCCTTTCGTTTGTCCATCGATTTCCGCAGAGCAAAACTTAAAGAGAGGAAATTTGTTTGCAGTTGTGTGTGCTAAAGTTTTTGTTTCAAAATGAAATTTCGATAAAGCGAACGAGGGTAAGCAGCGCCGATTTTCAAGAAACAAACACAAGCGAATTTTGCTTTCGAAAATATGTTACACGTGCGTTTTCGCTGAGGGAATCAGATTAGAATGTAATAAAAATGAGATCAATAACGAATTTGCTGTCAGTGCAGATTTGAGTTTTCCTTTTGATATTGAATAAGACTTTATTTCTTACAATTCTCAGAAGAGCTGAAATATGTTAAAGTAAAAATTAAATAGCAGACAACCGAAATAATTTTTATGGCGTTCAATTGAAAAAGGCAACCGTCAATGACAGGGACGGTACTTACATACATATACTTATGTATGCCTGAGTGCTAACTAAAAGAAAATTATGTTTGAGAAATATTTAGGTATGCAGGCAGTGTTAGCTGTAAACATGCATCCAACAACATTCACTGAGAAGGCAAAGTGACGAAAGATTGAATTTAAACGATTTTTTCTCGTTCCCTTTCATTATAGCAACGTAAGCAAAGAAGAAATTTAGCAACAAAGTAGACAACACTAAACCAATTTAGGTATCCTGAACGGTTGCCATGTTTCAAACCGTATGAAGCGTGAGTTCGATGGAAGCAGCAAAGTAGATACGAAATTTTCTATTTGCCACTTCAAATACGCTGCGTCTTTCCACTTCTGTAGATGGTTAAATTGGCGCAATGTAACGGGTGATTTTTTAAGAGCTTGATAACTTTTTTTTTAAAAAAAAACGCATAAAATTTGCAAAATCTCATCGGTTCTTTATTTGA